GAGAAATCTATGAACTGAACGTTGGACTCAGAATCTAGTGCATTTGTTCTAACAGGTCCTATGAGATGTGAGAGCTCCTTCGTAGCTAGTGTCAGTCACAGGGGAGGCACCTATTTTGTTGAGAAACAACGTCTTGTCATAGGCACGTCACCCCCACAGACCTCTCTTGGCTGGAGGGATGGTGAGGTCTACCCTGCAAGTCTGGTCATTCCCCAGAGGCCTGGGGTGACTCAGGGAGGATTCGGGCAGATGGTACATCCTGAAAAATCTGTAGAAGGGAATAGCAGTGAGAAGATGCTCACCAAAAATGGAATCATGAGTGAGGGTTCCCTTTGAAACAGAAGCCAGAACCTGCTACTCATTGGCTTAGTACCTTCATCGCGCCCCAGGTTTGCAGGCAGAGGTCTCCACCCCAGCTGGCATGCAAGCCCTTCCTGACTGTGCCCCAGTCCCCACGCAGCCCAGCTATGTCTTTGCTCCTGATGTTCCAGCCACGGTGAACTACTTACCCTTCCCCCAACTTACCCTCCCCTCCCTTTCTCTTTGCTTTTGTCCAGGTTATCCAGGTACCTAGATGGATGCTCCTCCTCTGGCTGGCAAACCCCTCTGTGGCACCTTCCCCATGTGCTCAGGGCCTGGTGTACATCATCTGTAATACTGCTCTTCACCTAGGAGTGGTTACCTGTTCTGTGATTGAGCCCCTTGTAGGCTTTGAGCTATGCCAGAGCAGGGCTAGAACTGGGTCTTTCCATCCCTGTACCTGGCGCAGAGCCTGGTGTTGATGGAACTGAAGAGGGAGACTGTAATGCAGTCACTGCACTGTGATAAGCGTTCCCTGGGAGGGGAATATGGAATCCTTCAGTTGCTTGGCCGCTCAGGCAGGACCCCGTCGAGCAAATTCTAGGATGTTACCAGCACCTCGTTAGGCTCTAGCACTAGTAATTTATTTCCCCCAAAGAGAAGGAAACCAGCACAGGGCTCAGGATTCAGTCCCTGGATCGGCTGGTTCCTTTCCTCGTGACCTCAGGCAAGTTATTTCATCTCCACTCTACGTGCGCCTCCCAAAAGCTCCCCAAGATGGAGTGCAGCCATCACTCCCGCCCTCCTCTCCCCCGGAGCCTTCAGAAACACCAGCCTTTCTAACTGCTGGGCAAGGGCTGGTGTTTCAGAAGAACATGCCAGTGATGGCTTCCCTTGTAAATTATGCTTTCTTTCCCCTGTAAATTATGATTAACTTGATCAGAGCAGTTTACATTAACGTGTTCTGTAGACAATTCCTATGCAAACTTGGGTTGAACAAAAAAATGTATCTTTGTATTGAGGCTGGAGGGTTACTGAAAAATATGTACCGAGCTTTTTTGTAAATCAGACTGTTGTAATCGGTGGATAATAACTTAGAAATAAGTATGTCAAATTAGATTATTGAATGTGAGGCTGATTCTAGTGACAGCTATCCCCAGTGCTATGCCGTCTGCTAATGAGAACATTCAACAGAATTTATTTTGAATAGTATAAAATATATAGGATTTAATATATTGAATATATTTCTACAAACCTCTAGAAGTAAATTCTCTCTCTCTTCCTCTCTCTCTCTCTCTCTCTCTCTCTCTCTCTCACACACACACACACACACACACACACACACACACACACCCGAATGAATGAAATAGATTTGCAATAAAACTGAATTATTATCAGATGAGTTGTATTCAGCTCCCTAGCTTTCAGGTGCATTTAAGAAGGTAGAGGATCTGGATTTAGCCTTGCATTTCCCTTCATCTCTGTCTAAACAAAATTGGAATTCCCAGCATCAGTTGACAAGCCAAGTTATCACATCAGTCCCACCCTCCAGGGCCCTCCCACTGTCATTGGTGGTCATTTTTCAACCAAACTATATTGCAACTGGGTGTTGCCGGGCTGGGCTGCAGCATGTCTCCGTGTCCCATCTCGGGAATGCTGACCAGGCTCTGTGCTCTGCCCTTCACAGAAAGCCAGGAGTGTTGTGTGTGGGCCTCGTCTACATGCCCGGGAACGTGTAATTGCCCAACTGCGTGTGTTGTTTCACCGGCAGTAACAATCCGGCAGGGAAGTGCATGCTAAAGTTAGCTTGTCCTTTGACAAGATCTCCCCAGTTGAAAATGTTTTGTTTATCTATATGCTTGAAAGGATTTTACTGACATCAAATTAACTGCCTTGCTTAATGGTGCAAGATTGTGTTTTGAAGAGCTTCCACTGAATTGTCCTTGAAAGGACATTTGCTCTAGCAAGTCTAGCCTCTGGCAAAGTTCCTGCATCTGGGTGGAGGTGGTTTTCTCTGCATGTGCGAGTTGTAGGATGTGTGCATGTAGCCCACCGCTGGACCACGAGTCACGACCTCTGTTGGATGGGTGGGTGGAAGGATGCACAGACAGGTGGACAGACTGACAGGTCGTTTACTTTGCCTTGCCATGTGTCTTAGATGTCAAGTTTGCTGACATTTAAGAAGAAAGAAAACCTGTAATTGGAATCCTTCCAACAAGTTCTTGCTAAACCCCACCCGATGACTATGTTTTTGGGCTTCACTCATTCAACAACAATAGTATTTAATAAGCACTGAGGATGTGTTAGGCACATGGGATACAGCGTTGAACAAAATAAGAATAGTCCCTGCCTTCAAGGAAGTTACTGTCTTATATGGGAGAAGCAAGCATTAAAAAGTAATAACACAAAAGAATTAGTTAACTCTGTCATCACTTTTTAAAAATTAATATATAATTTATATACCATAAAATTCACCATTTAAAGTACAAAATTCAGTGGTATTTGTTTATTTAGGCTTAAACAACAAACATTTATTTCATACACTATTGGCATCTGAGAATTTTAAAAATCAAGGTGTCTGAAGATTCGATTCATGGTGAGGGCGCCCTCCTGGCTTGCAGACAGCCATCTTTTTGCTATTTCCTCGGGAGAGAGGGTGAGAGAGAGATAGAAGGAGAAAGAGGGGGGAGAGAGAGAGAAACATCGATGTGAGAAAGAAAAGTTGATCAGTTGCCTTCCTTACACACCCGACCAGGGACCAAACCCACAACCCAGGTATGTGCCCTGACTGGGAAGTGAACCGGTGACCATTTGGTGCACAGGATGATGCTCAACCAACTGAGCCATCCAGCTGGGCTCTTATGTCATTTTTAAGAGTGGAAAAGCTTTCCCAGAAGTCTCCAGCAGACATGACTTCACTAGCCAAATTTATATCATACAACCCATTTCTAAACTAGTCAGTGGCAAGGCGGATAGAAGTCCTATGATTGGCTTAGACTAGTCAAGATTCATGGCCCTCTCACCCTCCCTGAGAAGAACAAAATTAGGAGGAGAGTGGACTGGGAGGGCAGTTTCGGTGGTTTTTAGTCTATTCACAGAGTGCCGTTTGTCGTTAATATGGAACAGTTGAATGAAAAGCTCAGTCTGTCCTGTTGTGTGGTTGGCACAACCACAAACGATTGGTTTGACTGACTCCTACAGTTTCCATTACGTTGGCATTGCATTGTCTGTGGTCTTTAATGTCATAACCGGGGGCAAGGGGAGACATCGGAGTTCAATTCAGGCAGGGTGTCGTGGAAGCTGCGCTACGGGAAGTTCTCTGTCCCGTCCTGGGAGTTCCTTCTCGCTCCAGATCACTCCCTTGAGCACTCTCTTCTCTGCCCCTAACTTGAACTTCCTGGTCCTGGGCAACCCCTGTAGCACCTTATAATTCCGTTTTCTAAGAATATGTCACAAGAAGTTCCCAAACACGAATTGAAAACCGTTAGGATCTAACCCGTATATTCTAAAGCTAAAATATTAGATGTTGTGGCCCTAACCAGTTTGGCTCAGTGGATAGAGCGTGGGCCTTCGGGTTCGATTCCTGTCAAGGGCACATACCTTGGTTGCAGGCTCCTCCCCAGCCCGGGCCCTGGTCTGGCACGTGCAGGAGGCAACCAATAGATGTGTTTCTCTCACATTGATGTTACTCTGTCTTTCCCTCTCTCTCCCCCTCTCCCTAAAAATCAATGGAAAGATATCCTCAGGTGAGGATTAACAACAACAAAATGTGTGTGTGTGTGTGTGTGTGTGTGTTAGATTCTGTGAAGGAGCCAAGGTAGAGGTGTAAAGCTGCTTCGGACCTGAACCACCTCCTACTGATGACTCAGGAACTGGTCTAGTCTATGGACAGTCATCCATCTATACAGAAAGTCCCAGGGGTCACCCCCCTTCCCTGGACAACACCGATTTCATCAGAAGATAGTATTGTGGCATCACCGAGAGATCTGGAGAGCAGTACATTAGCATTCGTGTTATTCAGAGAGCTTTGTGACAGTCACCTGAAGACATCAGTGTCAAAGGTGAATGTACCATCGTAGATACTTCAAGATGATGACAACCCTGATGATGTCTTTCCTTTGTAGGTTCCACTGCACATTGCAGAGCACTTTCATAGGCCTCATCTCACTAATCCCCACCTTTGCCGTGTAAGGCGGGAAGGCTGTGATATCCCCATCCTTTAAAGGAAAATCCCAGAGAAGTGACTTGCCTGTGATGGCAGAGGTGCCTCTCTTATCCTCTATCCTTTCTTTCCGCCTCTCTCAAAAGCTTGCCTGCATTCTCCAGGGCCCTGTTCTATACTGTTTCCTATGATGTACTTATGACTTGTCAGTTTCATTCACAGTACTTGGGTAAAAAAAAAACCTGCTTGTATAATAGCTGACGTTAAAAAGAATGTCATGAACACACCTGGCAGTTAATTTTATTCACTAGTTCCCTTCTGCTTCATGGATTCCTGTAAGTCTGGGTTAATTAAGCTGAGTTCTATTTTTGCTAGCGAGCTGGTGATCCTTTGGGCTGACTCGGCGGCCGAGTGAGCCCTGGGCTGCGATCAGTGACGGAGCCTCGATGAAGCCTCGGTGCCTTCCCTGGATAGGAGCGATGAGACTGTACGAGACTTGCTTTTGACCATACGTTTGCATCCTCCTCTTCTTTTAAAGGTACATGACCGATGGCGGACTTGGCCTCTACACCCGCCGCCTGAACCGGCTCCCTGATGGGATGGCTGTAGTGCGGGAGACCCTGCAAAGAAACACCTCCCTGGGCCTCGGAGACGCCGACAGGTAAGCAGCTCCACTTGGGGTTGGCCAGGCGCAGGGGTCCTTCCACAGCGGCCCGAGAAATGAGGGTGGTGATATCAAGAGCGAACAGGTGCTGCTTCACCCACGTGGAGGTTGGAGGCCCAAAGCCGTGCCTGGGGTGAGCAGCGGGAACAGCAGGAAGGAGAGGGCTGAAGGGTGCTCCAGCTCTGCTCTGCGTCGGACGGTGCTTCTGAGAGCGAGAGCGCAGGGAGTTCAGGCTGGAGTCCTTCGTTGTTGTTTTGACTGTTGCTATGCCTCTTTGTCAGCTCAGCAGGCCCCCGGGATCTGCTTTCCTTCCTCATGTGGCAGCTTTCTAGGCATTGCAGCTTGGCACAGTCCCTCGGGATGCACAGGTGTGTGTGCAGACGGGAGCTCCGGCCTCAGCTGAGCTGGCCTCGCCGTCAGTCTCCCGTTGCCTGGTATGGGAGGCAAGGCTTAAGTGTTCGGATTTATACACCTGCCCTGAGATTAGAGCCTGAGCAGTTGAGGTTATAGGGCGTCACCGGTCTTCATTGCTGCTACCGTCAAAGACGAAAAGAGCTTCAGAGAACACTAGAATAGAGAAAGAGGGATATTTGGCATCCAAGTTTCTAGTCCTTACTCTGACGCAAACCTATTCTGTGACCGTGAGCAATTATTAAAGAAGAGGTTTGGGCCGTTGTGATTCCCAAGACCCCTTCGAGCGCCGCTGTGCTGTACCTCTAGACGTCAGCACCTTCAGTGACCTGTCTGTGCCAGGATTTTTCTGGCGTACTTGACCTCTTTCCGCACCTGGGCTGGTGAGACATACCGTGGAGTTTAGATGTGAGGGGTGCTCACCCCCAGGTGTTGGAAAGCCAAGTATTTGTAGCACAAGCCCAGCTTCTTGTCTTTCTCTTAGCAGAGCACACTGTTTGCCAGGGGACTTTGTGGTTCTCTGGCTTCAGAGGACTAGGGCAGCAAACTAAAGAGGCAGACACCCACCGAAGGCACCCCCAGAAAGGGGATCTGCTGAAGGGAAGTCCTCACATTCTCTCAGGAAGGCTGGGAAGCTTCGGCTGATGGAGAGAGCGCTGCATTAGTGTGGGGAATGGGGACCTGGCCCGGGCTCTGCCACCGACTATAGTCTGTGCTACTCAGAGTCTACCCCCCCCCCCCCCCCTCCGCCCCACCCCCATGGGTCCAGGGTGCTGATTTGTACCAGAGATGACAAAAGGCTTTCCACGCCAATGCCAATTCGAGTCGGTTGTGTTCCTGTAATTACTTTTTTTTTAAGGAGTGGTTTGGAGATTCCACAGAAAGATGAACCATGAGAGGGCTCTTTCTAAAGGTAAAGCTCTCCAGAAATAAAATCTTTAGAGTAAATATTATCTGGGGGGAAAATCAGCTGTTGTGACACTCCCACTGGAGATTTCACAATCTCGTTTGCTTGTTTGTGCTCTGCTGTAAACACGCAATTGGTTACTAAATCCATTAGCATGAAGTGCAGGCCTTACAAGGTATGTCTCCCCTTGTAGCAAAGGAAGAATCTGCACTAGGCAGTTTAATTTAATGCTTCGTTGCAGGGCTAATGGAATTACCACAGATCACAGCTGAGCTTGGTTCTGCTTTTGGAGCGGAGGGTTTGGGTGGGGGCTGGAAAGATGATAGCACCTGTTATGTTTTTCTAGTCCAGCCTCTATGCATAGGCTATGTGCTGGGACCATGCGGACAGCAGTGTCTTCTGGTCTCCCCAGATGTGAGACTAAGTGGCTACTGACCACTTTAAAGAAGACTCGGTGCTTTAAAATAGATTATAATGTATAAGTTTCTGCTCATAATACTGACTTAGCATGAAATTGCTATCAGAAATTAGTCTTACTCAATATGGGAGAAAGAAATATATCACTTGTC